GCGAGTAGCAGCCTATGAAGGTCGGCACGGCACACGAGGGGGTGGGTGGCTATCACCACGCCCGGCCGCCTTTGTCTCCCGAGTGGCGATGTTTACACACCGCACCGAGCACTCGTATTGAGGCTGAGTCCACCTAGGAGAAGGGGCCCACGACCGGTTCAGAAAATCGTCACTGGCGTTGGCCGTGAGCGGGAATCGAACTCGGATGGCCCAGGTCATGTAGCACAGCGTCTCGCTAACTGCCACACACACACACTCGCACTCCCCTAAGGTCGTGGAGTGTACCCCAAGATTCAAAGTACCCAGGGTGGCCACGTTGGAGACCCCGGTGGCGTCGTTCGTTAAAAGCCCTTTCCCAATATTCCTCCAAATAGATGTTTGAATGCATATTACCGTAAATAAGTAAAAAACGTCTTGCGTGAAAAAAAATTGTGGAAAGGAAATTCGAAAAACAAGAGCGTGCAAGGTTGGCACTTGCGCAGCGCTTGACAGACAATGCTCTTCACGGAGGGTGGCATCTGCCCACCACGTCCCCTCGCCTGGATTTTGGCCGTCGTCGAAATCACTCGGTCGCACGGGGGCACCGACGGCGCCAGTTCCAGCTCGTGGTGACTTCGCCATCGCTCGTCGAGTCCACGCCGAGAGGGAGTTGTCGTCGTTACGGTGTAGGGTGGCAGGCCCTAGCCACCCAACCTGCCGTGCCTTTATCACGTGGCCATCGGCCAAGAAGATGTTACACCATGCCGGGTGAAAATTACGCACAATCACGCAAAGTGGGTATGTGGTAATATATGTGTTTTTTAAACTTGTGCATCGCTTTGTTTTAACTTTACCGTCGTAATCTAGATGGGACCACAGTTGTTTACCTCTCAGTCATTGCCACTCACCTCCTGCTATGGTTGCCAACCCCTCCCGGATTGGCATCATCCTCTTGGGGAGATGACTCGGAGTCTATCGGAATTGGTATCGTCCTCCTGGGGAGAGATTTTAATCGGATATTTTAAAAAAATGTATATATGAATTGCGCAACCAAAAACAAGCTTTAAGTCAAAGATTTGGCGACCCCACTACGCGTTTGAAAAGAATAAACAACCTTTTAACCACAGCACAGGATCCCAGAGCAGGTGGTTGGAGGTTGCGAGGGCGGATCGCGGGAGGTCGCCGCGTGCGGCTACCGTTGCAGTAGCAGCAGCAGCAGTAGCAGCTGCGGGATTTTTTTCGCCTGGCGCATGGGGAGAGGTTGATTTGATTGCGAGGTGTGGGGTGAGGATCAACCGGCTTGTGGCCACGATGACAGACCCATTTTCATTGCACAACGCAGCAGCAATTGTCGATGACCGGACCGTGCGCTGTTGTGTATATAACCTTTACTGCAGCCCTGCACCCTGGTTCTCAATCGTTACAAAAATAAATGTTTGTTAATGAATACATAGACTTGATGAAACAAAGAAGTTGTACGCACGTGCGCGTACTTGATTTGTGTTTTCGATGATTTACCTTCTAAAAAAATATCTGGCCATGTCTCGCACCCCCAGGAAGGGCTTCTCTCACCCCCCCCCCCCCCCCCCCAGGGGTTTATGTACCCAGGTTAAGAACCACTGGACTGTCACCGAATACGTCTCTCCCACTGGATCCCTCTCCAGCAGTGCTATGTTGTTGTTAGTATTGTCGCGTTCCGTGATGCCGTAGGTATGGATTGCAGCTGGGGTCGAGTGAGAGGGGACGCTGGACTGCCATAGAGCTTCCAACAGTGGATAGAGAATGGCCAATGATGGTGGTTGGTACGGTTCTGTGGTTGAGTGCCACCCTTTTTAAATCCTTTATATTAAGTTCACTTGCTTGCTTGCGCGCTTACGACCGTGCAAATCTTTTGTTCGTTTTTTAACCCACTTCCCGTGATCCAACCGAGCTGACATTTTGCACAGACTCGTGCGTGACAATTTATTTTCGTGAAAAAAAAATCCAAAATGTTCAACTTTTTAGGATTTTTTTTTCATATTTAATTTAAAATACCAATGTGATAAAAATGAAACTCTTACTCAAGAAAAAAAGAAATGAATAATAAAATAAAACCGATGTCACGCATATACAGGATTTATAGTGAAAAACTTTGTTTTTACGGGTTAATTTTTTAGTCCGTCCGCTGCTGGACACGAGGGCCTCTCCACACCCTTCCTGGGGCAACGGTGTTTGCCGTTACCATACTTCACCATGCCATTCAGTGCGGCTCGGTGACAAGTGAACGGAGGCGAGCACCAGACGTGGGAGCACAGAAGTGCAGTGCAACAACGGTGGGATTTCTGCACGACTGGCCCTCCTGCCTGCCTCGAAAAACGCGTGGGTGGCGTAGGCGGGTCACGCGCGCACGGCAGCGCCCTCGAGACGACTGCACCACCACCCCTCTCTCCTTCCCACCCCCTGGCTCGCTCGCTCGCTCGCCTCCTTCGCTTCCTGAGATCTCTGACGAGACGGGGCACATTCCGGCTGGTGACTGCGTGGGGTGGGTGGGGGGGTGTGGGATTCGTCGGCTGTATTCGTACAGCGCGCCGCACTGTACTGTCGGAGCGTGCAATTATTACAGACCGTGAACTTTACGCTGCAGCGCGCACGGCGGTGGGGGTGGCGGAGCGAGTGAATTAGGACTGCAGGGGTGTGGAGCAAATGGGTCCGTCGGTGGTTTGAGGTGGGTCGGGGCGGGTGTGGGCGGACCAATCCGGCCTGTCGGCGTGGTGCCTGACGAGTCCTCGTGAAGGCTCGCGTGATGGGACTTGCTGGGGTCTCGAGCCCGTGAGCTGTACCAACCCCGTATCCCACCGCACGCACTCCCATCCGCCCCCACCTCGTGCGGGTGCCGTGATGGCATGCTGAGCGTGGCGTTTGTCGGGAAAGTTTCCCCGGGTTGCCGCAGCCTTGTGAAATTTGACCCCAGGGTTTGGACAGTTTTTTTGGAGGTGGGTGGGTGGGGGCATGGTTGCCAACTTCGTGGTTTTGTTTGCCAGGTCAAAGCTACTTTTTCTGGGATTCCCATGGTAACAAAATGTTGTCGAAGCGACGACCCCGATCGTCGCGCTCCAAAGCACGTGTACCAACGTTAAGCCATCGCTTGCATGTTCATTGGGCACTGACAAATCGAGCCACTTTGTGGTACGAGGACATTGTGTGGCTTTAGAAGCGATTCCACCTGTGTCTCAATGATCCTGAATCGCCTCTTCCAAGACGTCTTTCCAGTTTCGAAAAGCAGGACAGCTACAGCAACCTCCTGGAGTGGCGCACCTCCGGAGTTACTTTCCGCCAGCAGTGGAGTGAAGCGAGCAATTACAGGGCTGCTCCTCTAGCTCCTAACTTATCATTCAAAGGTTCCTCCTTTGAATGACCGCGTTTCAAGACGCCGCACCCGAGGAGACGCTTGCCCATCATCGGGGTATTTTGTTTTTATTTGAGGAGGGAATGATGGGTGTAATTCCAGTCTAAAAATGCAATGGTATTCTTTAAAAGCTCTGCTCACACTTTACCTTCGGGCGTTTGCCTTGTGTTACACCCCACTTCACCTCGGAAACGTAATCTTGCCTGCGGTTTGCAATTCGTACACCCCGCTGTCACGGAGCAGCGCAGAAGCGTGTGTATGTGTGTATGCTGAGCTTCGTTCACACCCTAAGTAGCCAAACCGTGCTAATTGGAGGTGCGGGGGGGAAGGTCAACAACTGGTGTGGCAGCGTTTACGTAAGCAAGTTTTCCCTGTGACCAAATCATCCGGGATAAACCCGACCTCGTCAGAGCTCGCAAGCTAAGCCGGCTTGAGCCTGGCGAACCTCGTTCAGATTGGGCGACCGCCCTTCACGAGCAGGTGTTAAAGGCTCCGGGGCTGCGTGATGGACGGTAAAGGGCAGAGCAGCACAACTGGACTGTACTTCCATGTTCCCCCCGACTTCATCAATCGGGCACGATGGACCAACGTGGCGAACGACGGCCAAATAATGCTCACGGAGCGCACGGGCGTGGGGGGGGGAGGCCGTCATCCAGCAGCGGATTGCACAAAACGAACTGGGCTGTAAATGTTTGTGCCGCGTATGAGCGGACGTGAACGAGCATGGGCACGTCCACTCCCCTGTCGTTTAGAGAGCCGGGGCTTCATTCCAGCCAGGGTCCGTCCGAGACGGCGGCTAGGAAAATATTTCCGCGCCCGGCACACCACATCCAGATTGTGATCCGGCTGCGTGGCTACTCCAGGGCGCCACGGTGGCTAGGAGATGTTAACTACCTCGCCCGGTATACAGGAGTTCGTGGATTCGATCCCGACCCTGATGCCTGTTGTATATTTGGAGTTTGCGTGTCTCTCTCTCATCATCATCACGGTTGCTAGGAGATGTTAACTACCTCGCCTGGTATACAGCAGGTCGTGGGTTCGATCCCGACCCTGACGCCTGCTGCTGTATATTTGGAGTTTGCGTGTCTCTCATCATCATCACGGTGGCTAGGAGATGTTAACTACCTCGCCAGGTATACAGGAGGACGTGGGTTCGATCCCGATCCCAACCCTGACGCCTGTTGTATATTTGGAGTTTGTGTGTCTCCCTCCCCGTGATCGTGTGGAATTTTATCCGGGTCTTCAGATTTTTCCGTCCACAATTAGAATCAAGGCGCGTTTAGAGTGTTTGACTGCTAGAAATTTCCGCATGATGATAAGCCACTTGGTTGAGCTATCATCTGTGGCCAGGTCACTTCCGAAAAAGAGCTACATAGCTCAAGGGTCCTTCCCGGGTAAAATAAAAAGTTTCGTTCAGCACTAATGACGGTGACGGCGAATTCACATTTGGAGTCTCTCCTCTCGAGTGCGCACAACCTGTGAGGATGTTGTCGTCCCCTCATTCTCTTCATCTGGCCCACAGCTCTCGCGAGGTTCGCCTGCGAGCGACAGACAAACCCGAAATGATTCCACGAGAAAAGTCAGGCCCTGATCGTGCGCGCGTCCGCCCCTTCCCCCTCTGCTCGTCGTGCCGCAGGATCTCACCCAGACCTCGCCCGCTTCATCGGTGCGTCCCGACGGCCGCGCCAATGGGGGAGATCGAGGGCACGTACCGGCGCGTGGACCCGGCCGAAGCGGCCAGGGGGAAGCCCACGCCGGTCCGAGCCACGCGGTCGGACGAGTCGGCCGCGGAGGCCCACGGGAACCTGCTGCCCATCACCGTGCACCTCCTGGATGACACGGAGAAGATCTTCGACGTGCCGGTGAGTACCCGTCCCCCCGGCGTGCCAAAGCGACGGTCTCGCCGCTGGATGATACTGCTGGGTGGGGACCGCGAACGGGGGGGGGGGGGGGGGGGGGGGTTGTTTGAAAATATTTAGCCCAGACCGGTCAGTGCCCCGGGGTAGCTTTGTTGCTGGTCGTGTCCGGGAATCGATGCCGGGCCACCAGGCTTCATTGCATAGCGTGCGGGCCGCCATGCTGTCACTCTACCGCAAGCCAAATTTTAGTCGAGGTTTGTAAAGCTTTAACAAAGATAAGAAAATCGCGATTATTTAGTATTCATCCCTGTCAAGCCCTTATCAGTGCCCTACCTTATTACAGACCAATTCAGACCTTATTGGTCACCCTGTGCCCCTAATGAATCTCAACGTTCATCCTACGAAGTCCCATTACAAGGGGGAAACACAAACGAATAAAACACGCAACACACAGTCGGCTGTTTTAGCAGGCAGACGTGTCACTACACGAGGTGACAACCTTGGTTTTCTGGTCAGTGCCACTGTTGTCTTTTCCATAATCTGTTATCACCGAAATAAGAATTGGGATCTACGGATGAAATGCGCCACTTTGTAAACGTAAATGGTCATTGCGTGCAAACGTACTCGTGTGCGAGCGTCCGGATTTATCCGCTTGTTATAGACGGACGTTCAGTTATCGTAGAAGCATTTTTCCTCTTCTCGGGTTACCTAAAGGTATCTTTAGCCGATTTAATGTGTTTACAAATTCTAATTCTAACTTTAACTGGCATGCGAACAATTCTAAACATAACCGGTGTCCCAACGTGGGTTTCTTCTTTTCAATGCACACATTCACTTGCGTGTGTGCGCGCGCCTTCCTGCCGCTCGAACAGTTGCTCCTACACGTGAGATGTAGGCGCGTGCATGGATAGGGTGATCACCTTGTCCCAACAGCAATTGGCAATGATGATGATGATGATGTATGCACGTGTGTTGAACTTCTTTTCGCACCTTAAGTAGCAAACCGTGCTAATCGGAGGTGCCGGGGGAAGAACAACAAACTAAACATAGTGATAAAGAAGTGAGTTTTTCATCTAGCAAGAATTCGTTTTCAATTGATGGGTGGGGGTGCATGGTTGATGATGGGGTGCAGCGTGTAGGTTGGGGATAGAACTTGGCAGGAAGCCGTTATGAGATTTAATCAGGAAGAGGTGGAGGCTGTGATGGTCAGGGGCCGGTGCGCAGGATGGAGGAGGGCAGATCGCCGACACTGGCATGAAAGTGGCACCCAGAGGTTGGAGACTCGGGTTAAGACCCAAAGCCAGATGGTGGGATACTCATAGCAGACATTGTGGGGTTCTGCACTGGATCTAGCAGAAGGAAGGAAGCGATGGCTAGGTGCGCTGGCATCAACGGAATTGGTGGCGATGACCTCTTGACGACCTCTCGGTGCCCCCCCCCCCCCCCCCCCCCCCCCAGTCACCCTTGCCGCGTGCTACGCTTGCATCTGGCTTTCGCAGTTGTCAGGTGCAGCAGATTGGGAGGCAATCCCGGGCGACCTGTGTGCGCCATTAGCTCGAGGCAAGCTCGCAATCCAGCGCTGATGATTATAATTGCCGCAGTCCTCCTTGCAAGTAAATCCCAGGCGGTTGTGGGGGGAAAAAAATGATCTTCCCCGTTTTTTCATTGTCCGAGCCCATCTGCCGTTACGTAGCGACGGTCGTGTGAAGGTCCTGTTCTTACCCAGTGATTCCTGACAACACTTGCACCTACGCCTACCCTGGCATCATTCCTGTTGACTGGATAGAAGCTGTGGGTAACCCAGAACCTTGTCACCATTACGTGGAAAGACCTGTGACCGTACTTCACCACGCTGGTCCAGTGTGGTTGAATGCACATGACGGGCACGGCATGAGGAGGCCTTCATCCAGCAGCGGATTGTCAAAAGGGGCCCATACATCATAATACATTTCTATTTTTTTTCGAAACAGATTTTGGCTCGGCACTTCCACGTAAAGTCTATCGGCAGCAATGACAACATCGGGCAGTTTCGTGCGCTTAACTGCACTGCTTTGGTGACCACGAAAAACAAAACCCCATTAAGACCACACCCAGAGAAAAATCCCCCAAGAGCGAGTTGAGCGACGCTGCCGTTACAGCCCCCGAGTGGTGTCTGCACACGACCCTCACCGCGTTCGTCTCCCCACCCCCAGAGGTCGCAAACGGGTTTTGATTCCTTACCCGTACCCGTACCCGGCCGGGTACGGGTACTCGTTCCCTACCCGTACCCTACCCGAAATGAGTGACAAACGGCTACTCACCGGTGACTCACGGCCTACCCGTACCCGGCCGCACCAGGGTCGCAAACGGGTACCCGTACCCGTACCCGTACCTGGCCGGGTACAGGTAGCCGGGTATCGGGTACCCGGTTGCGACCTCTGCCCACCCCGCATTGACCCTGCCCAAGCCACCAGAGGGAGTTGCTTTTCTCGTGTTGTTCCTGGCCCGTTCAATGTGGGGGTGGGTCAAGGTCACGGCACGGGCAGACGCACGCGTCTCAGAGGCGCAGCGATGGGAAGGGTGCACGGATTGGGGAACGAGCGCGGAGGTCAGGACACCAACAACTTAGCCGTCGGGAAAAGTTCATGCTGGGCTTGGGTCAGGGACGCGTCGTCTGACGAGACTGGATGATGGCCGGTGGGCGGTGACTAACGATGGCGTGGCCGCGAAAATGGGGAAGATGCACGCGGGCACGTCCGGCGCGGAGATGGAGCGGTGAAAACGGCTCGTGTGTTTGGAGCTCATCAGCATCATCACGATCAATGGGCAGATAGCCCCCCGTAGGTGTCCGCTGCACATTTTCGTCGGTTGTTTCCACTTTCATCTGGGAACTAGATGGATTGTTAGATCGTGAGACGGTGAGAGATAGCGGATGGCTTGGGGGGAGGCCTTCACCCAGTAGTGGATAGATCATGGCTACTAATAATGATGACGATGAGTGCCCTTAGAGTTACAGTGGTAATGGTCATGTCCTTGTTGTGCCAGGAGTTGAGTCGGTTTGTCGCATGTTACGCACGCTAGAGTCAAGGACGACATTAGCCTTCAGCAATAAAAAACTTTGTAAAGTTATGGCCAGCAGTGAATCTCTCAATTGGATGAACAGAGCCCAGCTCAGACTAGACGTGCCTATTCGCGGCTTCTGCTGGAGGGACATGATAAATGTGGAGACTATTTTCCAGCCTGCGGTTTTCTCCTCGGTGTTAAAGATAAAAAAAAAGTCAAAGTCAGAGGTGCGGCCTTGCTGTGACTTGCTCACGCGCGAAACTCTTGGTATATAAAAATACACATTTCTGTTTAAAGATTCGTGAGGAATGAAACCTCAAAAAAAGCACGCTAATTTTTTTGACGAAAATGTCACAGAGAGTATATGTAGATGCATGTATGCTAAGATATCACATTGACGCGCGAAGGATTACTTGAATAAAATGAAGTTACCAAGGAAAATGAGGAAAACTCGTGTTGGGAGAGCCCTGCAGAGGGTAACATGGCCTTCTCTTCCACACTGGCCTCTGACAATCTTGGCAACGACAGGGTTACCCCACACTTTACCCCACCGCACGAGACCTGGCCGATCGAAATAAACTCGCCCCCATCCCCCTTGTTTCAACAGCCGCGGCGCCGAGAGGTCGAACGAACTACTACCCAAGTGCCCCCCTTACAATTTTACACGTATATATTATAGAACGTATTATATTATATGACGTATACCTACTATAATCACCCATGAATGTCCTTAACGCTCGTGACGTCACTCCACATGGAGCACCCTCCCCTAATTAATAATCATGAGCAAGTGATGTCACTCCACATCGAACAGCCCCCCTCATTAATAATGATGAGCGGGTGACGTCACTCCACATGGGGGGGGGGGGGGGCGAGGCGCCTCCTCCCCCCTCCTCAGCGTCAACTCACAACCCTCACTACAAAGGCAGAACCCTCACGTCACGTGATCTACGTAACGCTATTGAGACATCGAAGTAAAAAGGACGTCACGATGAACAAGGGATTATAACCTTTAAATGAAATAGCTCTGTGTCACCGCGCCCTTACGAGTTACACACGCACTGATGCAATGAATATATCACGTCGCGGTCTGCTTTTCGCTTGCAAGTTTCAGATTTACTGCAATACACCCGTCCTTGGACGGGCAAAAGGCAAGCCTATTTTATAACCACTGCCGAGGTGTATCCCTGGGATCGGGCGGATGTGTGCGCGTGTGTGCGCGTTTGTCTGTGTGTACGCGACGAACCCGGCGACCCGAGTTCTATTCCCGCTCACGGCCACCTCTCTGCTGATCTTGGGCCTCCCCTAGGTCGACTCAGCCTCAAGTGAGTACCTAGTGCGATGTGTAAAAACATCGCCGCTGGGGAGACAAAGGCGGCCGGGTGTGGTGCTGGCCCACCCACCCCCTCGTGTGCTGTGCCGGCCTTTATAGGTACTCGCTAAAAGCACTTGCCCCTACGGTCTGTTCAGGCTATACAGGGGAGCTTTGTCTTGTTGCTCTGTGGCGACACTGTAAATAAAGGGGCCCTTCAGTGTCGGGACCTCAAGTTACAGCATTTGTTAGCCCCAGCTTTACTTGGCGCACGAAAGTCTGTTTTCTTGCACTCTTATTTCACCTCGTGATTTATTTTCAGTGTACGGCAATGTAGAATTGCATTGGCTTCACTTTGAGAGGTGGGAAGAGTTGACGCGCGGACGACTGAACATCGGCACGTTCATCGGAATCGGAATGTTTGATTATACCTGAGGAATCCGATGAGCTGTAAAGCTCTTTCACAGTGGGCTTGGGCAATGTCCGACGGTTAGATACGATGACCGATTGGTTGCAGCCCAAGGATGGAACGCGCCCGAGAGCACCTTCACCGCGGAGGAGATGGAGCAATGAAATCGGCTCCCGGGGAGGATTGTTGTAGCTCGCCATCGTAAGAGAAACCGGCGATGGCTTTAAGAGGGGGGGGGCC